CACAGCTTTTAAATCCACTTTTAACCTCTGGTGTTTAGGAAGCTCTCAATGTTTTTTTATCTCTCTAGCTGGTGCTACATGACATTTATGAACACAGTTGTACAGTCTTGTATGTCCTCAATTAGAGTTTCATTAGGAGAGAGATACTCTGTGATTTAGTATGAAATCCAAAACTTTTACCTTTCATTGTTTTTATCTTTGAGGTCATGATGATGATATTATAATAATTATTTCCTGCATCTTAAACAAGTTTACATTTAAATTAATAACATATTTCTTTATTACTCTGCCCTAGGTCATAAGTACTTAGATAAAATGCACAGCAATATAAAATATTTCTTAAAACCTGTAGTTATTTAATGGCCTAAAAATTGTTGAAGTGATTAAACACATCGCTCTTGTTTTTATAAATTATTTTTAACTATTTAGAAAAGGTTGTGAGGGAATTTCAAATAAGGTATATAGAAAAGGAGCATGCCTTCAAATAGCAAATTATTTTAACTCTTCTCACTTTTCTGTATTTCTATGCAAGTGTTTAGAATATTGGACATACCATAAGACATGAAAAACATTCATAAAGCTTAAGAATCCTTCCCACCTGTGTGTGTGCATCATTTATTCTCAAACCGTAGCTACTAGAACAGATCTTCAGAAACTGGAGACATTTCCATTCTTCCCTGCTTTGGCATCCAGAGTAAAGGCATCTCTTCTCTCTTCTACTTCCCCTTATGCTGATGGTCCCTGGCACCATCCCAAACCCTTCCTCAGTAACATAACTTATTCTGGTGACAGACCTGACAATTTCAAACATGATTCAATTGATCAATTCTCTATACCTCCATTTCTGTTGTCCTACACTGAGGTTATTAATAGTTGTCCTGTATTTTAAACAGCAGTGCACTGAACAACTTTGTGCACAAACTATTTTACATGATTAACTTTTAAAGAAACCAACACAAAACTAATCATTACTAATTTGAACCCAGACAGTGTACCTATTGGACATGTGTCACTTATGTAAAATGGGAAAGGAAAATGTAGAAAACATTTGTCTTAGTTACTAATCTGTTTCTCTCTTTTAATTTTAAGTTTCTTGAGGGCAAGGATTATGTTTTTTAAATTTTTGCATTTCCTTTGGATCCAGAAGTATTCCCTTCATAATATCCAGTAAAAGCTGGAAGTCTTGAACTAAATATGCAATGGCTTTGAATAATCAGCAAGACAACACCTGGGTTTGACTCCACAAGCCACAGTGCATGTGAAGGATTTCATTGGCCCTCTTTGCATATAGCATCTACTGCCAACAGGTGATGCATCCTGGGGAGAAGAGCCTTGCCAGAGGGATTTTTCTCTTGCTAACATCCTCTTTCCAGATGTTTATTCCCTGTAGCATATCCTGAATTACGAGGCTCTGGGAGGCAACTGCAATCACTGAGAATGACATGTCACACCTGGAATTCACCACTCTTCTCCCACCATACAATTTCCCATAATTAAATGTCAAATCTAAGTTTATTGCTAAGAGACTTAGTTGTTTCTCTATGTAGTCAAATACTAATGCTGAATATTAGTTTACCATAATGTTTAGCACTTTAAATATATTTAGATGTGTAAAGATGCAACTAAACTATTTTATGATCTGGTAGGATTAATAAAATAATGTACTTTACAGGATATAATGCATGTTCTTATGGCACTCCATCATATCTCTTAAACATAAACACTACTATTTAACCTTGAATCAGTTATATGTTTGCAATATATAAATAAACTAGCCAGATTAGACCTATCTTCTATATAAAGGAGAATGGTACTATATATTATTTTTTTCTTTTTTTTTAAATAGTAGACATTGGTATGTATGTGTATCTATGTGTGCAAGTGTGTGTGTGTGTGTGTGTGTGTGTGTATGGATATGGATATAGATGCTTCTCAGCAATGGTGCTACATCCCAGTAAACCCACTGCAATTTAAAAATATTATAAGCTGAAAATACATTTAACACACTTACCTTACAGAACAGCATTGCTTAGGGTAGACTACCTTAAAAACATGCTCAGAACACTGATAGTAGCCTACAATTGAGCAAAATCATATAATGCAAATCCTATTTTATAATGAAGTATTGAATATCTCATGTAATTTATTGAACACTATATTGAAAGTGAAAAGCAGAATGGTTGTATGGGTACTTGATGTTGAGTTTCTACTGAATGGGTATCAATTTTGCACCACCATAAAGTCAAAACTTCATGTGAAAGGCCTAATAATTTGTTTTTACCTTAGGTACTGGCATATCCCATAGATCTGTACTATTGTGCAGTGTGATAGCTTTAGGAGTGAATATGATTTGAACTCATTCATGTTTAGAGAGTGCGTCAAATTGGGAACCATGCAGATCCACCTACTCTAAAAAATGACCCTAAAGTAAATTGCTTGAAAAAATTAGAACCCAAAGATTTTTGGTGAGTAATTTGTGAAGTTTTCATGAGTTTATCAAGTGGACATAAAGAAGTCAAAACAAGAGAATTGTGAGCTGACAAGACAATTGTGGATTGAACATCTGTTCCATTAAAAAGGGCTACCTGGAAGATGAAATGTGACTCCAACTTTTGAGGAACTAAGATTACCTTGATGGACAGTGAAAGGAATCACAACATGTGAAATTCCCTAATAAAAATTTATTTACTTTAAATAATTTTGCCAATATCATAATAATAAAATATCTTCACACTATTAAAAAATTAATAACTCTATCATTAAGTCAGGGACCATTGGTATATGTGTGTGTGTGTATGCACGCATGTATTTCATAGTCTACTATATCAAATCTGTACCAACATGCAAATATCCAGAGATATTTTTGTTTGATGTTGTAAGTTTATTTTTATTAATTGTTACTCACCAGTAAGTCATGCAAAATTTTCTCTACTTTCTTTCTAGGGTATTCAGTATTTTTATTTCTGCTCTGTTTCAGTTAAGCTGAAAAGGGTCTTCTGTTTGGGATTTTTTTTATATTTTTTATTATTTGTCTGAGAAGAACTCACCAAAGAGTTTAATGATAATGTGTTTTAAATGCCAATTAAACTATGTCATTTAGCAGCACTTACAATGGTATATGACTTAGGAACAACCCTTCTCCTCAATTATATCAACAGTTACATATAATCAAATATTTTATATTTGTAATGATATAATCCTTGATTTTCTTGTAGCAGACTTTGGATTCCATAAAAAAATCAAAGATGATATTCTAAGTGTGGTTAATGTATTGTCTCAACAGATTTTAGTTACTGGCTTTTAACACATTAACTGCCATGAGAGTTGTATTTCACTCACTCTAGTTTTGACCCCGGGGCTATGTGAAGCATATATAAAATCTTACTTGATGTTATTATTGTTATAGTTAATAATAACAATATAATAACAATTAATTCTAAAAATGTGAATTAAATGACTAGAAGTCAATCAATTTTGGTTTTTTATTTATGTTTACCTTTAAATTACACTCCAAGTTTTTATTCTATTTCTGTAATAAAACACTCTGGCCCGAAGGAAAAGTTTCTAGGTTTTTCTTGTGTGTTTGTGTGGCAGTCAATGTATTAAAGTAACTATGTGAACATATCTCTTGCATAAAGAAATCCTAATAATGGGACAATTAAAAGGATTCCAGTAAAAAAATATTTTATAGTAATTACCAAGGTGTGTAATGGCCATTGATTTAGATTTCCCCTAGAACTTTAAAATACTATGATTTTTATGAGGAAAACCAAAACTTATTTATAACACGGGTCACTCATACACATTATCAAAGTGATGAATTTCTGAGAACAGTTTTAAAGCATAGAAAAAATATAATACTTAAATTAATTCAAACACCATATATGTGTTTTATGACATCTAATAATGATAGCCAACACTACTGTCAGGTGCTATTCTAAGTCCTTGAATGTATGTTGACTTATTTTACCCCCACAGCAGCTATACAAGACTGGTACTATTATTGTGTCCAGCTTTCAGATGAAGACACTGAGGCTGAGCTAGATTAAGTGGCTCCCAGTAGCTAACATAGCCAGTGGAGAACCTAGGATTCATACTCATACCGTTTGGAGATGAAATAAGACCATTTGATTTCCCAGAGAACATGGAAGTTTAATCTTTGAAGTTAGTTTAGAGATTTTTCTCTCCAACATTTCCCAAGTGTATTCCATGATCAAATTCTGGGATAAAAGCCTCTATATCAAAGAAAACACAATATAGCATTTCTTTTTTCATTCACTCTTGTGGATTGACAGTGCAAAAGGGCATAACCAAAGTTCTGAGAAGTCCTGAAGGGAAGAGATCTGTTTTAACCAGCATTTTCCAGTCATTACGGATAAGAAAACTTTATTGGACTCACTTTTCCCAGTGCTTAGAATTTGTGTTCCCTAGAACATAAATGCTGAGAAAGTCCAGCCCTACAATCTAGCAGATAGGAAATTGAGGCTGAAAATGTCTTCGTGACCCTGAAACCTCACCCACCAGTCCTCTACGTCTTTTACCTCACTCTGCTTTTAAATCGGCATGTAGGTATAACAGTTCCGCTATTTTAAATTTCTTTAGGGTGTCCACTTTTATTTAACTATTTCACCAGGAAAAGAATCGTTATAATGACACCACCTGGATACAATAGACAGACTGTTTATATTCTGTTTTACTTAATACAAATTATTCACAATAAATATTTAACTTAATGGTCAACATTTTTGTTGTTAAGTAATCCGTTTATCCTGAAGTATTTAATTCTAAAAATTAGAGGGAAAAAAATGAAACCAACAAATAAAAATCTTCTCCTAGAAAGTCTTGAGGTTCTAGAGTACCTAGAATTTAGGTGATGACCATAGGCCATAAATATATTTCATCACCATACCCTTATTGCATGATATCATGGAGTTAATCACATCGTTCAACAAAATTTTATATATATATTTGTTCATCAACCGCATATTTTGCCATTTCAGTTCCTCCGAAGATATATGACATCTCAAATGACATGACCGTCAATGAAGGAACCAATGTCACCCTTACTTGTTTGGCCACTGGAAAACCAGAGCCTTCCATCTCTTGGCGGCACATCTCCCCATCAGGTAAAGTAGGAAAATAACAGTGTTGTGTGTGCTGCTCATTATTCTCACGTAGCCTCACTTGTTCAGAACTTGAATCAACTTATTTAATTTTTTGTATGTTTTTCATGAAGTAGGCAAGATGCTTATTTTTATACTTACTCTTTCAACCTAAAGGCACTGTAGTTTACAAAAGTTAAATGATTGCTTTCTGTCAGAGCCCAGAATAGAACCTACGCCTCTTGATTCCTAGTCAAGGTTTTTACTTTTGTATACTGGATAATCACAAATCAATACATAAAAAGCTCAAATGGAAATATCACAAGAGAAATGTCTTCATTCAAATGAGTAAGGGATGTATTCAGTCAGCATTCACATGTTAATAGGTCAGCATGAACCGCTAAAGTAATCAAGGGAGAATGACGTTAAGCAAATTATGAGATTACAGGGTCTGATTTCAAACTGCAGTACAGAATCAAAGATTTTGGAGTTAGAATTAAATTTTAACTGATAAGGGATCTAAAAATCCAAGAGTTTCAGTAACTTATGCAAGTTCATATAGCTAGGTGAAATTAAGGATGTAATGTATTTATGAGTTTCCAGTGTTTCTGTTACAGTGAACATCCCCCAAAGAGATTAGGTCAGTTTTAGGAAGTTGGCCATCATCATCATCACAACAGGTTTGTTTTCACAGCCACAACTCTAACAGAATCATCAAGTTTGAACTATACAGCTTTGAGTATATCCCAGAAGTAAGAGAGGTACTTTTAATGAGTAGGATCTCCCCTCATTTCAGACAAATGAAGTTTGCCTTATTCATTTCATATTTTTGATAGAAATAACTCTGACAAAGCTGGTGCAATGAAATTGCTTTTAATGAAATCAGAAAGTCACGTTTATGTAGGTGTAGAAAGATCACAATTGGAACATCCATTTTATCTGCTAAATATTTTCATTAATATGACTTATCCTTAAGTGTCTTTAAGTTTTCTCTTTTAAGCAGTAGTATTATTATTAATGTGAGAGGAAATCAATACAACAGCAGTATGCACTTATATAATATGTATTATGGTCCCTACAATATTTCTGAAGTATAAGTGTTCTCTTGACTGCCAATACTTTACTCTTTAGAGCTGCCAAAAAATCATAAAACTGGAATGTGAGCACTGGATTCATTGCAGGACTCTCCATGGGATATAAGTGAAACAAACTCAGGACTAGCAGTTAGACACATGTACTCTTAAGATGACTTCCTTATTCATCAATTCAGCCAATCTTTGTGCAAATGTCTTATCCCCAGTTACCCTCAGCTAGTTCCTTACTTTCCAAAAATTGCATGGTAATAATCCCTGGCTATTGTGAGACTCAAATAAGATAACAGGCATAAATGTGTTTTAAAAAGTATGATTTGATATGCAAATGTACAGCTGATTCTTAATCATACTTCCAGGAATTTAAATCTGATATGGCAATATAATTTTTGTAAGAATGAAGCACATAATCTCCATCTTCATATAATTTAAGATTAATATTTTGGATTTAACTTTCCTGCTTTACAGTGCTTGTTATTATGCATATTCTTCTTTTTTAAGTGCTTGGATACATTTTAGTTTAATTAAATAGTAGAAATGTTGGTTAGTGAAGTTATTAGAATAATAATAATGGATAACATCATGAAGCTAAAAGAAGACAGATTAGGTTTATAAGTTAAACCGTGCATAGATTTGTTTTTCTGATTCTGCCATACTGAACAAATGAGTAAAATTAGCATAAATATTAACTAATATCTAATAAATAGTTAGACTTGGTGATACTTTTATGAACACTTTCAATAATTTCAAATTATAATTCATTAATGATCTGTATTCAAATGCACTGAACTAAAAGGAAAAAAGAAAAAAAGTGCACAGCACTGGGGAGTTCCTGCTTTAAGTAACATGTCTGATAATTCTGTTAGTTTTTTGTAACTTCCATTTGAAAGCAAAATTGTGAATTTTATTGGCCTGTTTATATTTTCCCTTGAAAACATCAACATTTTGCATGTTCTCCTTTTTTCTTTTCTATATCATGAAAGAAAATGTGTTTCAAAATAGCAGTTAACACGTGAATAATGTTTAGTGTTTTTTGGTTGGTTGTTTGTTTTGAGACAAGTGCCTCACTCTGTTGCCCGGGCTAGAGTGCCGTGGCATCAACCTAGCTCACAGCAACCTCAAACTCCTGGGCTCAAGCGATACTCTTGCCTCAGCCTCACGGGTAGCTGGGACTGTAGGCATACACCACCATGCCCAGCTGATTTTTTCTCTATATTTTTAGTTGTCCAATTAATTTCTTTCCATTTTTAGTAGAGACGGAATCTCACTCTTGCTCAGGCTGGTTTTGACCTCCTGAGCTTGAGTGATCCACCACCTTGGTCTTCCAGAGTGCTAGGATTACAGGCGTGTGCCGCAGCCCCCCCCCCCAATGTTTAGTGTTAAACATAGATATAGATATGCTGTACTACCGTGTTTCCCCAAAAATAAGACAAGGTCTTATATTTATTTTTCCTCAAAAAGACACCTTAGGGCTTATTTTCAGGGGATGTGTTATTTTCCCCTCAAAGCCTCAGCTTGCAGCACGCACAGGATGGCCAGGACCTGACAGGGGCAGCCGACACTGTTGGTGGGGCTGCCAGCGCCTTTCCCGGCACCTCTGGAATAGTTGCTGTCACATGGGGCAGATGAGATGGGCTGCTCATCTTCTTTACCGCTCTGCGACGAAGTGCATGGGTTGTGCAGATACACTGTGTAGCTGCCCCCACCACTAGGTCTTATTTTCGGGGCAGGGCTTATATTGCACAAATGCTTAGAAATCCTGCTAGGGCTTATTTTATGAGTAGGTCTTATTTTTTGGGGAAACGCAGTAGAAGCCATGGCTAGCTTTTGTACACGTGTAATTTGTTTAGATCTTTTGCCAGGACTTTAGATAATTTTTGGTGACTCATCATGGTCAATTCTATGTAGCTTAAAGAACTAGTAATAAATGGCTGGTCACAGGATTATAGCTCCACAGACCTTCTCCCTAATCTACAGAAAAACAAGGTTGTGACTTCAATCACACCAGAAACATCACTGGAGCCTGTTGGAGTTCCCATTCTACTTGTTAATTCAAATTCAGAATACTTTCACTAAAAGCGTCATTCCTGACATGTTTCTGGATATGTGAGCTTCCTTATAGTTCATTTATAGCAATGATTTCTATTTTTTTATTCTATATTTGGAAATTAATTTCAAGTTTATATTTTGAAAGGTTGCAGAAATAATACAAAAAACATTCTATAGACTTTACCCAGTTTCATCTGTCAGCATTTTGCCCATTTGTTTCATCATTGCTCTGTGTGTAGAGCACATAGAAATATATACATATACATGTATATTATTAAATCATTTGAGAGCAAGTTGCATATATCTTAGCCTTTTTTAGCTCTATATAGTTCAGTGTTCATGTGAAGAATAAGAACATTTTCATTATATAACCACAGTAGTTTTCAACTGCATTAAATTTATCCAGTTAACCATCCATATTCCAATTTTGTCAACTGATCCAATAGTGTCCTTTATAGAATACTCTTCCTTCTAGAAAAGAATTCATTTCAGGACTATGTATTATATTTAGTTGCCATATCACTTTATTTCCCTTTAATATGGGAACTAACTTCTCAGAATTTGTTATTACTGAACATTGACATTTTTTAACAATGTATGTACCCTTTTTAAAATATAATATTTCTCATTTGGGAGTTGTATCATGCTTTCTCATGATTATATTCTAGTTACGCCCATGTGGAACTAAACAAATGAAGGTGTGTCCTTCTCGGGGACTCATATCTAGAGACACATGATAGCCATCTGTCCCTCATTTGTGATGTTAATTTCAATTACTGAATCAAATGTTGTCTGATTTCTATACTGTACAGTTTCTTCCTTTTTTATTCCCTTTGCTAGCAATAAGAAATCTGTAGGGACAGATTTTAGGCCATGGCATGCAAATATCTGTTATCTGCCAACCCTCTCCTTAGATTTGACATTATTGATGATTTTTTTGTGTGAGCTAATCTTTACTCCATTGATCAATCTGGTGATTTTTTTTTCTAGCTTCAGCAATCCTTCTATTTTTACCAGTTACCCCTTACATTTTGTAAATAAAAACTTTGCGGTCTCCTTTTTATTATCAGTTTATTTAATTACTTATTTTTCTGGTGTACTTATGAATTCTCAACTTTTAAAAATTATTTATAGTTCATTACTAATTATTGTGATGCTCAAATTTTCTCTAATTCGGTCAGTGGGGGTCACATCAGTCTGTCTCCTATGTATTTGTGACATGCCTCCATAACTTTTTTTGAGCACTCCCAAACTTTCTGGAATGACAAAATATTCCAGCCTCATGCTTTCTGCCCCACCTCTGGGGTCAACCATTTTAGTTAACTTCAAATGATTGTGTAACATACACTTGAGGTTAGAACCATTGCATTTGTTTTAAAAATGTAACCCTGTTGATCTGCCTTAGAGTAAAATTATCAGCAACTCAGAGGTCTAGTTTACTCCCTGGGATATTCTACTAAACCCTAAGACCTTAAGTAACTTTAGGGCAAGGAGTAAAAAATATTCTATTTGGCTTTATCCAACAACAAACCTAGAACAGGGCATGAAATCTGAGTATAAAGTACTTGTAAAATTAACAGTGGAAATATTTATGGCAAGGAAAATATAATAAGGCAGTTGTTCCATCACTGGAGTTAATAGATAAGCTCATAGGTCTTTACATGGGATTCTACTGCTTCCAGTAATCTATACCTCATTCCTTATCTACTTAGAAAATTTTCAACTTTACTCATAATTCCTAATATGAGGTATATGATTCCTTTTCATCCTTACCAGTAATTTATGTGCCAGATGGTGTCAATATAGCATAATGATTTAGATAATATTCCTTGATCTTAGTCAAATTAGGTTTCAGATTCAGCTCTTCCTTTTACCAACAATAAA